AAATTACAAGAAATCATTTAATCACGCGTCAAATAAAGTTTGAGGTTTACATTAAAAATTTAAAAATTTCATCCACACCACCTCGATGTCCAGCGTTTCACAACAGCGCGATTTTTAAGGCATTTCTTGCCTCGCACAACCACTCTGTGGAACCAACTGCCGCCGGCGGTCTTTCCGAACCGTAAAGAGAGCATACTCTTTCATAAAAGGCCGGCAACGCATTTGTGAGCCCTCGGGTGTTGCAGGTGTTGCAGGTGTTCATGGGCGGCGGTAATCACTTACCATCAGGTGAGCCTCCTGCTCGTTTGCCCCTTTTCTCCATAAAAAAAACATTTTTAAAAGCCTAAATTAAATAATCCTAGACGATGGGCAACAACTTTATTTTATTTGTAGATTAGATATATGTCTTTCGTTAAAACACCGATGATTGCAAATCTAAATCGTTACGATGAAAAGTTAATCCGTTGTTTGTAATCGATTAAAAGTAACTTATAACAAACACCGTCATTAATGACTAGTATACTCGCAGCTTAGTTGTTAGAGTACGACAGAGAATAACAAATCACGGACGTGTAATCATCGCTTCGACGTCTCAGAAGCCATCAGATAAAAATCTGAAGTGGCTGCGCAACAAATTAAATGGACTTGTCGCGTCAAGCCGGTAGCCGATAAGTCCAATTAATTATGCCGACCTAACACTGTTCGTGACTTGACGCGACAAAGCCGACCTAACACAGATCGTGAATGATGGGGCTCAATGCACATCGTCTGTAGGTCGCGTGTGCATCACGCAAAGCGGTCACGTAAGACACAGGGGGCGACACCTGCTACGAGGTTTCGCCACGGCTGACCGACAACAATGCAGGCTCGTGTAATTGAGCAATTGCGACGCGCGTAGCACATCTCCGATAAGTATAAGCGACAGGAAACCGTCGGTGGGGACGTTTTGGACGCGCCGATGCGGAAACGGAGACGAAGAATAACGCACATGCAGACGATGCGAGCAGGTCAGTAACGGCACTTGGGGATTTGCTTATATCACTTAAAAAAATATTTCGAAGATACGAGAGGTCCGCCGATCCGCAGTGTACTCGCGTAGTAGAACCTCGCTAACCTCTTTGCAGAGGAGGCTGTTACTTTATTTTTAATTTACTCGTTGGTTCTAAAATTGTTTATAAAATGATTTAAAATTAAAGCCTAATATCGCCTATCGAGCAGGCGATGCAAATACAAACGATAAGTCAGTAATGGCTCTTCGGAACCTGTTTAGAAATCTGTTTATTTCATTTTACTTTTTGACTTTGATTTACTTGGTGGTTCTAAATGATGTGTTTTAAAACTAAAGCCTTAAGGCCCTGCCAAGTTGGCCTTGCTAAGTTTAACGGTGTTGATTTTATCGCGACACGTCAGTTCGAAGGGCAAATGTTCGACATTGAAACACAATATTACCTTTTAGTACTTAACTTATTTATTTCTCCTACGGCAATAGAAATTATATACTGTTATACATAAACCAACAATTGATCTCTCTAAATTGAGATGAAACAAATCGATGATGATAGCCAAGTCGCTGTAACACTTTGGTGAGGATTTCTCACCACATTCTTATTAATAATGCTTTGTACTTAGATGAAAAAAAGTTATGCACAACAATTGCCGTAAAACTTAACTTTTAAATAATACACATGATTTCTTTTAAGTTAGACCAGTTGACATATTTAAAGTACCATTTTCATATCTAGTACATATCATAACTATCCTAACTGACGGTGAGTGGTAATTTATTTGGATTAATATTTAACCAGTATGTTTAATACTGGTTAAATATTAATGTCTATTCACTCTTGCCTCGGGCGGAAAACCGAAAGTATTATAATGGTTCAAACATTGCTGACAATGAAAAACTTAAGCACAACGAGTGTTTTCCATTAGCCGAAAATACATTTGTCGCGCCGCGTTCACAGATAAGAGACTCGAGGTAAAAAAGACACCAAATTAAATTGTTTTCCATTACCCTTATCGAAAAATAACTACATTTCGTGAAGCTAACGAGTTAAATTCACTTCAGTGTAGTTACCAACTTCTTATTCAAAAACAATCGATGCAATGATTTAAACATTAAGATGCGGAATGCAAAATCGGATTGGTGGTCATTTTACGATCGTGTCAGGCTATACCAATGCGTTAAGCAAGGTTAAGCGGCGTGGACAACGATAAGAGTTTTGTGGCTTGTTCCCGCAACTTCAGATATAATATACAAAGTAAGAATGAGGCGCCGCTGAGGTCACGGTCGTCACGCTAAGAACAAAAACGAAAACGAAACTAAAGTATTTAACATTTTTGTTCATATAATAATACCAACACAAATCAATATACCAACGAAGCCCTTCTCGAGTTTTATACATATGTTCTCGAGCTAACAATCGATTTAGTTATTAGGACAATTATTCTATTCCGTCATCAGATAGGACTGTACGCAACAAAACCAACTTCCGGTGTTCCTTTGTAAGTTCATTTACATAACAGACAAAAATTCTTAAACAAAGTGACATTTCTAAAGATAAACACACTTTACACGTGCGGGCACTCACTCGGGCTATATATACTGTACTAGGATATGTAGAGCTCCTATCCACAAAGCAAACCGGATTCAGCTCCGTTCCATTTGACTACACGCGTTCACTTTGACTTGACTACCTAACACTTGACTAATTTATTTCAATAAAATCGAACGCAAGCGCTGGGTAAATGGGAAAAAATTTACAAACAATTTACGTATAGCGTAGCGGGTACGCTGCAATGCGCTCTTTGTCTCATTAAAGATTCAAACAATCTGGAAGTTTGCTTCGGAGGTAAATATACGACGCACGTTTCTAAAGGCGACGTTGGGGAGAGGGTTGCTCACTGGGGGTAGGAGGGTAGGATCGAAATGGCGCACCTCCGAAGAACCAGCCTAATAATAACGAAATTCTCGTGAAACGTTTGATTAAATGTAAAGTCTTTTATTAATAAACTAACAAATGTTTATTTTTTAACTTTATACGTTGAAGTTAATTTAATATTTTGTCGCATAATGATTCGGACGCGAAATAAAATAACAGTTTCAATACCGAACATCTTGTACCATCATGATTCCTAACATGTAACGTGTAAATTTCGTGCTTACGTAACACAACCAAAAATACACCTAAATTGTTTAATTATATTAAAGTGTAATACGTAGTCGTTTTAAAAGTAATTCTGCAAAATAGATACCCAGGTCGCAGTTCCAGATGGCAAAAAGCTTTACTCGGGAAAATACAAGTTTTAGTTAAAATCGCAATGCCTAATTTTTTTAACTTAATCGGAGAAAATAATCAGAGATCTATTTTTATTCTTTCCGTTATCAAACCCTGACTCTAACGCTGAACAAAGGGCTACATTATTGAAGTTTTGGTAGAGATTCATAATTTTTCTATTAATTGATATAGCCTGTTACTTGAGGATAATGTACAATTTAAATGGTGAAACAATTTTCGAAAGCGATTCAGTATTTTTTGTGTTTATTCATTACTAGCGACCCCGGCTTCCCACGGGTGCAATGTATTATACATATAAACCTTCCCCTTGCATCACTCTATCTAGTAAAAAAAAACGGATCAAGATACGTTGCGTAGTTGTAATGATCTAAGCATACATGGGGACAGACAGAAAGCGGGACGACTATGTTTTATACTATGTAGTGACGAACCTACAATTAATATATGTTACAATATTTATCTAAAACTTTACTAGATATAATAAATTACCAGGATGATTTCACCAATACTGTTTTAATAAAAACATTTCAGAAAATCTTCTGACAATACTACCTAAACTATAGCGTATATCACACTCCGAAAGATGCTAAGTGAAATTAATGAGGCATTCAAAGAGATTCATGTGTTTGAAAAGGACATAAAGAGGCGTAGAAAGCTTCCAAACAACTCATAAACGTATTTTAAAATGGTAAATGGCCACAGAGAGACAACCGAATTTCTATTAGAAACTATTTCGTCGAGATTTTATGTACAAGTTAGGCTCTATTGGATGCACTAGTGTTATTAATGTCATAGAATATTCTAGACAAATATTATGTAACACTGAGAAACGTTGGAACACATAATTTATGATCTCATGCGGCGCGAGTCACGATTTAGAACAGGCAGAATCTGAATCTATACCGACGCCATGCAACCTTGTTTTATTACAGGTAAGTGAATGTAGAGTACTGTTATTGTAAAATTGAATATATATTGGACACGGCAATTGAATCGTCACGAGTCCGTATTTAGATACTGATTGTGACTTGTTTCCAAAATATTGAAGAAATAGTCGTTCCAGACGTAAGTCACTCATTTATTTAGAATGAATGAATAATAATGGCACACATGCAGAGATAAATTTAGTTTTTGAAATTCTTTACTTAAAATATAGCTAATTTTTTTACATAAAAGTCATGTATTTTCTGACAGTTCCGTTTGAATAAATTGTTGTTATATGGCTTGATTAACAAGCATTGAAAAATAAGCAAATTGGCAAAGCTAATATTCTAAACTGATGACTAAAACGAGCCTTGAATAACCAATCAACCTTTTAAGCGTGATGACATCAAATTATAAAATCACTGCTATTATATTAATCCAATAAAATTACCATATTCCTTAATGAATATCAATCATAATAAACCAAACGAATTAAACACAAGTTAAGTAAGTTTTTAAATTGCACAACATTCTCGAAGTGCAAAACGTAAGAAAACACTTACCGGAAAAGCTTATTTTCGTTTCGACCGGCATCTTTCCTTTTAGTCCTCTTTTTTGGTTAAGGAGTAAATGAATACAACTTTTTTGTCTACAGCAAGTAAAAAAATATGTAAGGGATTTTGAGATTTCAAATTTGGAACTGGAATTAGCCGGTCGGTGGTCCTTTGAGATGGTCGCGTGTGTTGCCTCGATACGCGTTGTCCGCTCGCTCGCCGAATGTGCACTGGCGGGCCGGTAGTCTCCCACGCCCGCGCGCCCGCCCTTACTACGCGCCCGATACCAGCCAGTGTTTTTGTTTTGCCAGCAGCCGCCCGCCGCCGCGCCGTCCCGACCGAGGGGGCGGAATTTCGAGGATACAGAATTCGATACTATGCATTTTGTTTCGCAACCGATCGAAATTTGCCCGACGAAAATCGAGGTGCCTGTTTAAATTGCAAAACTGAAGGATTGTTTGTGGAATAGTAAACGTCTCGCGGGACATTGACTGATAGCGTTCCATTTAGCTTTGTCGTTGTATACGTATATAATGCAAGACGTTCGAATATCAAATCAAATATTTGCCGCAGACAGTGGAATTTATCGCTTTAATATTTGCGATGTAAAAGACAACTGTGTTCAAATATAAATGAAAACAACTACTGACCTATAAGTCTATCAGACGTACTAATATTACTCTGTGATAAGAATTGAAACTAAAGATATGACCGGCCGCATTCCGATAATTCCAACATCACATATGTGATATAATAATAAGTAGCAAATAGAAACGTTGAAAAGAAAATCGAAAGTCAAGTTTTTGTGAGTTAAATGAAATATACTGTTTCTTTCCAAGTAATAATATAAAGAATAATAAAAAGACCAATTAGTAAATATTATTTGAGAATGATACTCTAGTTTGCATATTACTGACTGTACTATAAGTAACATTTGTACAACAGATAACCATTATAAATCCATGGCTAAACAGTCTGAACACCTGTTTTCATACAATCCTATACGCAACAACACAACAGTTTTAACAGGGTTTTCCCTGCATCATATGGGAAAACACATCCACACGTATTCCTTTCACGTGTTCAAAAGCAAATCGGCACCAGAGAATATTCTGCCTCGCGAATGTTGTCACCAGACGGGACGTGACCAGCCTAATAACGTTTGAAATGAGTTAATTTAAGGCAATTTTAAAATTAACAAGGGTGCTACGCGATCTCGTGAGGCAGTTTCGACATGCGGCTAGTTTTCCATCTTAAAATGGGCGTTCGAGTTGTGTTGGTGTCGCAACGCAAGCGCCGGTGCGCGATTTCTAACGGGTCAAAGAAAGCGAGCGGTGGCGAGGTCAGCATTCTCGCTGATTTATATTACGGCATCAGTTTATACAATTTTTAAGAAAGGGGAATAAATCGTAATATAAAGTGGGGTCTGGTCTTCGATGTATTATTGAATATTGAGCTCGGGCGTTTACCATCTACGGCTGAATCTAGCTAAAGTACTACCGAGTTACTAAAGTACGAATATTACTGACGAAATGAACGTATACTTTCGACAGAGATTCCTCTGCAGAGCTTGCATGTAGTACAAATGTCGATATAGAACGGTATACTAAGTTACGTTCCATCGCAAACTACCCGTTCGCCATATACAGTGAATCAGTGAAGCTTCAAAAAGTGATTAACATCTAAGATAAGTTTAGATACTAAAAGGTTTTGTTTTTTTAGACAGTTGTGTTTATATTATGTGAGCAGTTAACAGTAATTACAAATCATCTGACAAACATATAAATATAATAGACGATGAAGGAAAGGTTTAACACAGTAATATAAAAGACTATCACAAATCGTTCTTCTTCATTTGCCTCTCCTAAATCTATTTACGGATGTTGCCGAGACTTATTGATTGCCTCAACCAATGTTACGCCGCGTCTCGTACTATGTTAGTTATTCAATTAGCTCTAAGTACATCGGTTGCTTAATACTGCGTCGTGGATACGAAAGACAGATGTATGCAATAGAAATGATTAATAGAAGTCGGTTCTCATGCAACTATAAGTAATGCGATTAGTCTTTATTATATCATCACGGAGCGTCATGTTTTTTTTATTACGCAGTTAATGTTTTTAAAATCAAGCAGATTTACATTTTGACTTAAAAGACATATATTGTTAAATTATATGTATGATGAATTCTAAGTTTCAAAGTATTATTGGTATCATTTCTATTGCTATCGAAAAAGAAACCATGCTTTGACGCTAACACCTAAAAACAAAAATTTAGGTATAATAGTAATAAATTGTTTTTTTTTATTACTACGCTTATGTTTTAAGGTCGTAGCGTTATTAGTAGTATGTATGGTTATAGTAAGATTGATATAGTAGACAAGCAATAGTCCGTTGGCAACTAAAAAAAACAAAAAATCGTTGTTTTGCTACGGTTCGGCTACGGTACAATCTCGTATTTCGTCATCGACTTTAAGGACCAAGTCAAGGTCAAGGTATCCTCTTCCCTGAAGAGTTCAAAGCCTTCTTTCTCTTTCTGGTCGCGTCTGATGATCGTGGTTGGTGGTCGTCGTTCGAGCACGAATGAGATCTCCCCATCGATTTCGGTCCATCGCGGTCCTCACCACACCGTAGATCTTCCGAGGAGGTTCTGTGTCTTTGCTATCGGTTTCGGCGTCTGGGGACGTGGGTTCGATTCCCACACGGGACAACTATCTGTGTGACACAGAGATAGTTCTTTCCTGTCTGGGTATTTGTCCGCGTGAAATTTATGTTTGTAAAACGTTCCTACAACACAGGATAGTCTTATCCTAAAGTAAGGGTTTAAAATAAAGAGAAAAAGATATTGAGTTCCGACAGTATGGACTGATTGAAATGGTTCGTAGAAACCACAGTAAAAGTTCGTAAATATTTCATTCTTAAGGTTAGATATTGTATGTTATATACGAGTCTTTAAAAACGTCATTATATGTACGGATTATACACAAATACATAATAAATTTAAGACTATCGGAATAAGATATAGATATAATACCTAATTTTGAAATAGGGCCCAAATATTTAGACTATTCTATTCTTTTAACGATCTATTGTATATAATTTACTTACTATTTATTTTCCAAGTACTTTCGTTAAGCAATACGGATGATTCGGTGGATAATTTATCAGCTATGGCTTCTTTATAACCAAACTACAGTGCTAGCTAGATAGTTCCTAACCTCTAATAAGGTCATGAGAACATTTTGGTAAAATATCTTGCAAGATATGTGATATTTAAAAATGCATTGTTATATAACTGGTCTGTGTGGTTACGATTATTTAATGAAGATAAAATGAACAAAACAATGCTTTTATTCAAATTTCAACTTTTACAATGGTCTAATGCGTACTCTGAATTAAATATCATGTACCTGATTATTATCGTTTTAACATCATGACCTCTGGGCAAGGACGTAGAATTTGGCGTGATAAATGGGAACAGTGGACGCCTGTGCTTAGTAAATTATAGAATACTAGCTAACCGCCCCGGCTTCGCGCGGGTTCAATGTATTATACATATAAACCTTCCTCTTGAATCACTCTATCTTCTATTTGATTCACTCTATCTTGATCAAGATCCGTTGCGTGGTTGTGAAGATCTAAGCATACATAGGGATAGACAGAAAGTGGGACGACTTTGTTTTATACTATGTAGTGAAGTACCAATACTTTTGGCTTGTTACACATTTTTTTTATAAGAACCTACATGCGATTACGTATATTAAAACCACAACTCAATGCCACGGCAAAATGAAAATCCATAGAAAATAAAAATAACAATAGTCAAATTTGGCCGTATACACTGATACATACGTTCAATAAGAACGCAGTTTCATGCTGTACGCAGACTGTTTGTAAAAAAATGTTAAGCTCTACTTAAAGCTTGCGAAGGAGGCCTGTAAAGTGTAGGGTCCTAATTGAAACGTGGCTAAGTGAAGAGGCATGAAGGGGCACTGAGCTACTATGCTGGTATTTCTATACCAGTAGTATAGAAGCTAGTATAGAATATTTGGCTCCCCACTTAGTAAAATAAAAATAAAACTTCTATCCTATTATAAGCTTTATAAGGTGGTATAAAATCGTTAATAATAGAAGTAAAACTGCTTTAGAGAAAAGAAAATACTATGTTGGTATGTACACCCATTTATTTTTATCCATCCATACATACAAACTTTCGCGTTTATAACATTAGTCTATATCTATCCAGTGGTTTATCTGTGCTGCGCACTAAACAGCACACCTCTATCATTCAATTTATTTACTCAATTGTGAATATTTTAAAATCCTCCTGAACATGTTTGGAAATCGAAACCACCTACTTCTAAGTCAGGCACACACTAAAACATAATTGAATTTGAAAAAAAAAGTCAATAAACTTCGGTCGCTAATAAATAATTATTTTCTTTCTCTTAGGTGTCTTAAACAAGCAAAGCCTAATAAACATTTAACAGAGCGCATACATACGACATAATGCAAAGCTGAAAGTGTTCTCAGAATTGAACATTGTTCTTTGGCGTGAGTTGTTCGGAATGCGTGAGAGTTCAGAGGCTGTGTCGCGAAATTACTTAATGAAGGAGGCTTTCGCACGTCTACGTTCGAAAGTTTGTTTTTGGTTGTGTTACTATATAAACAATCATGTTTATATAGTAACACAACCAAATAGTAACATGATTGTTTATATAGTAACATTCTGCGGTGGTTTCTTTACGTTTGGTTTTCTATGCCTTTTTTTCTTTGGTTCTTTTTTCAAACATTTTACCTCTCTGCTCCAGTTTATGACCCTCGTAGCGTGTCTAAATCCAATAATAATTCGCCGGAATATATTACGAATTGGCATTGTTTCAATGGTTACTTCAACATGTATCATATAATAGCGGTTACTTTTTTGCGATAGACGATTCAACTTTAAGTGCCAAGTTTGTGCTATACTGATAAATAAAAAAAAAAATTGCAGGAAAATCCTTGAAACAAAACACAAGGTGATGCAATAAAATTCATCAAGATAACTTTGAACGAATACCGAGGCCGTTAACATTCGGATTGTTTGAAATTATCCTCAAAACCATTTCATGATCAGGAATGTACCAAAGTACATTTATCTGATATTTTCTACATATAAAATAAACGCATCCCAATATTTTTAGGTACACTTTACGTTACTTAAGTTTACCGTTACTTAAGAATACTATGGTCCATCTTTCATAAAAATTTATAAATATAACAATAAAAATGAAAAATAGTAAACAGTATATTGTAAGGAGAACAAAAATAACGTTACTAATCTAACAATATCACGGTGAAATTGCTTCTACGCTGACAATTATGATCATAATTATAATATTCCATACCTACATTAAAACATAGTGGGCAATTTACTTTAAAAAAAAAGTCATTACTTATTGTTATATATTCACATCATTTCCCACAACTGGGAATGGCTGGTGGTAATAATAATAGCTGGGCCCTCCGACTCTATAAACACAGTTATTATAAATATTATTACAATAAATATAACGTAAATAGCCCACAAGTGCAGTGACCGAAGGAATAAGTTCCTTGAGTCACGAGGCGAGTTTTGAGTTTGTAGCGGAAGGCACGTACCTTCGTGCTCTTTGACCGGATTACATTTGCGCTTATTAAGGAGCCGCTTTCGTAAAGTTGTTTACGGTCTAGCACTGTGTCGTTAACCATTTTTAGTGCTGGAAATTTTACCGCAAGGTTCTTGGGGTATGTTTATTAACCTCTGATGTTCTACCGCAGTGTGTAGTAATATTTTTTTCGTATAACATCATCAAACAACTAAAATTCTTTAGGCAACAGAAAATTAATACAAAAGTTTCAAATTGATTCCCGTGTAAGAGTTGATATTAATTCTAATCATTTAAATTTTAAGCCATCATATTGTTGACTCTTGAAAAATCGTATCCAAAAATGTGTGCAAATATAAATGGGAGGGCGTATTCTAAGAATTATTCAATTCTCAAATTGTTCAATTCTAAGAATTTTTCATAATCAAATAGGGTTTTTTAAGGAACTCACTGTGAAAAATGGTATGACGTTGCTCTTAAAAACTACTTTATAAAGATGTAACTAAATTAGAACAATGACGTTTACAGTTTTTTTAAATAAAATGCAATGACAATGAATTTTAATTTAAAATATAATAGTAAAGTCACAATCTTCATAGTGTAAACACAAAACCTCCACTTCTCATGTGACTAAAAAATTTTTTTCACAAAACTGCAGAACGCGTATATAAAGCTTTACACTCAATATTTGTGGCTGTACTTCAGAAGGGATTCTTTTTCCTGTCATTGAGACGGACGTGGTTATATTTTTTTGTCATTACGGGGGTTCCGTCCTTGGTACTCTAAAAAGGAAAAATGTAAAAGGAGGCTTACTAGAGGGCTTGTTATTATCGCTTGGGAGCATGACATAGGGAGAGAACAATGCCTATACATTTCGTCTCGAAGTACATTGCTATTGATATGTCAAAATGTAGGAGTGTTTGCACTCGGATAAAATACTACAGTGTGTGTGCAAGTCGAAACCTCGAGTGGAAGTCGTGGAAGTAAGGGAAGAGCCTTTAGAGTTTTAAAACAACTTGTATGTGCACTTAGTTGTGGATGTTCTGATTATCCTTGCTAACCGGTTTGCCGCTATTTCTTGTTATTTTTATTTGATTAAATGCCACACAGCGCGAGTGCTCGGACCCGTTTCAAGTTTCTCCGATCGTTGCGACATAATGCGACTGTTCTAAAACAATAACGTCATACGGCAAACATCAACGGGTTGCCCGCGAAATTGAGGCATCGTGTTACCTCGAGATCAAGTGGTCGGATATTTGTTTTGGCTGGTGCCCGCCGAGCTGTGAACGGCCGGACGGTAGGTGGCACCGAATGTCACGTACGATTTTTGTTTACCCCAGTAGGTGTGCATTGCCACGCAAATACATCGGGGCGATTCGTCTCGGTTGAATCGCAAACATATCGATTATACGATTATTAGGTAAACCTCGTTACGGCGATAATATTTGTGTTTTCAATTTGAGATCATGGCAATGCCCATAAGAGTGAACGTCCAACCAAATTGTTATTACTTAAATGATATCAAACATGCATTAAGACCCAACTCGCCGCATTGCGTCAACTCTTTTAACACAGAGCATAAATATTTTAGAAGATCTACCCGGTCACGCTTTAGTGGGATCATAAGCAAAAACTAGTCATTGAAATTTAATTCTCTAATGCCTTATGATGATACTTAAAAATGTAGAGTTAAAACCGCAAAATTTTTCATTAAATTTTCGCAATCATCCTACACCGTCGACCTTAGTTTAATGACCAGAGCGGCTGTACGTATTATCCGGAAAGCGCAGATTTGAATCCCGAAAGTGGCGTAAACGACTTTTGCGAGCAGCCTTATCTATACATTTTTAAAAAATAACCAGTTAGTTTTAGTGTTATGACTTAAAAAATCTAGAAAACCTTTTCCCACTTCGTCGGCTATAGAATTTTCACTATTAAAGTTCTAGTAAGAACAAGA